AGTACGACCGCAGCGTCGTAGCCAGCCAGCTGTGCACATTCGGACCTGAGAAGCGCAAACACGAATGAAACTGGTCGCATCAATGCTACTAGCAAGAATTAAAGTAATGACAATACTGACAGCGAGACCAACGTAGTTCGCAACAGCATGTACCAAGACAAGCAATGGCAATACCTGTACGTAGGAGTACTGATCCTTCTAAAGCCCGTATCCTCCATGAGCTCTGTACCCAGATACTCGTTCGCACGGTTCTTGGCGTATTGGATGCATGACGCTTTGAAGGGCGATCCTTCAATGTTTCAAAGACCAGATTTGTGGCTATTTCTCAAAGCTTTGCAGGAGTGTGTCTCCGCCCGTGGCTAGGTAGAGAACATGCATGTGCTATCATGCACATGAGGACCTTCGCATCAAAAAGGACCTCTCCATCAACTACTACACTCGCACCACACATGCAGCAATTTGTCCTCGAACAGGGGCCAGCTTCCCAGTCCTTGGTATCAGATGGACAAGCGCCCAAACAGGGCAGCACCCACCCACCCCAAATGCAGCCCATCAAGGCCAGGCAGCTCATCGACCATGCTGACCTTGATGATCACTGGGCCAACCTGTCGGAAAACAGCCTTTGACTGCACAACTGTGAAGAGGTTCGCCGCGTTACAACTTCCATAAGGACTCCCCGCAGTTCAAAGCAGCCAGAAATCCTTGCTTTATGTACAACATCTGCCCACATGTGTTGACCGCGCCTCAGCCACGTACCTGACTTCGTACCTAGGCCAGAGACGCACGCAGGGCGTGCCCATGCAACTTCGCAGTTCAGCTTCTCCGTCGTCTGGGAAGCAGGTGATAGAAAAGACTTGTGAGATCCCAAGCGGAGTCAGAAGCAACACTGAGGAGAGCAAACAGAGGCACACTGTGCGCACAGCGCATGCATTCTATATCTGAGATGTCTGCTGTCCGTTGTCAAAGTCGATCACTTCATGTGGAAGCTCTCGCATCGATTCCTGCGGGTCAGGACTGTAAGTGTCAGTGAGTTGCCGACGCAACGCAAGGATACAAGGGGCAGCTGCCAGGCCTTTCCCTTCTCATTGATGTACACATGGCTGATCTGTACAGCCTGGCGAGACTTCACACTTATGCCAGGTGGGAGCGGTGTGGTTCGAGCAAACAGGCAGCATGGCCCACTCATCTCTTCCGGACTTCCCTAATACAGCAGCTCACGTTCGCACCAAGTGACTGCACTGGCTTGGCAGCAGCCAGCAAGTCTGAGTGACCGGCTGTTCTCGCCTAGCTGGTTCCTGGCTTGGATCATGAACCTGCCCAGCTGTCACGACGATTCTGAGCGCTCATATCACTGATGGAGTACTGCCCCCCTTAAAGATGAGGAGCCCTACGTGCAAGTGTGCAGTCCCGACTGGTGCAGAACTCCATGATCTGGGTAGTACCGCTGCAAGCAGCGCGCCTAGTAGTCACCTCTGCCTGCTGGTCCATGAGCAAGCCTGGCCCATAGCACAAAGACCTCAGCACGTAACATAAGAAGCCCCGCGTTGGCGAGGGCATACAAGATATCATCATGATCATGCAGCCGCGCGTACATCATACACAGGGACCGATTACACAGGAAGTCCATCTTCTACGAGATGTTCTGAGAGCGCCGCATTTCAGGAACCGTGTTGAGGAAGTAGTGGTAGTCAGCCACCTCAACCAAGCAAACTGATCATGCAACTGCGAAGCGGCAAAAGAAAGAAATTCAGCTAAAAGAAAATCCTCTCCATGTTGTGGCGACATCGCAGTCTTTGCGCATGTGTTGAATTGGGGCATCCCAAACGGCACAGGCTGATCCAGGGTAATCCTCAAAACCTGCGCCTGTCGAAGCTTGATCATCCGCGCAACATCTCAGGGAAATTATGCTGACTGGGTACGGATTTTGGAGGAACCCCCTTCGATAGAGCGTATGGGGTCTTTCGGCATTTTATATGCAAGCCCCGTACAAAAAGCAATAACTGATGATCACCGCTGAGAATTATAATTGTAAAGATTAACAGAGGAATATGTAACCCCAAACCCAGGACCCTATACAAAACCCTAACCCCCAAACTCCAAACCCTGAGCCTGACATGTAGCAGTTTCCATTCACTCTTCCGATATCCTATATAACCCCAATATAATCCCTACATAACCTCTATATAATCCCTATAGTCCCTATAGTTTCCATCCCCCACCCCCCAAGCCAGGTCTTCTGCTGTGGTGGTGAAGTCCTTCACGCCAATAGACACACGCACTTCACACTCGCGCGGACCAATGCTGCCCTCCTGGCAGCTAGGGTTTTGTCGGGCTTGGGGGCAGCTCGTGGCAGACTGATCTGCAAAGCTCTCCAGGAATTCTGGGTTTAGGGTTTCTCGAGCAAAAATTAGGCTTCAACCATCACCCACAAGGACGAGCGAGCTGCACGACTTTGGGCGTGAGGCATTCGACCAGCTCGTCATCCACCACGGTGCCTGTAGAGCGGCTCACAGACGCTGGAAAATAATGTGGCAGTTTCTTGAAATGCGGGCGTATCCTGAGTGACCCTAGGTGTAGATGGTTTTGTGCTGTGCATTCTGTGCATTCTGCGTGAACGCTGTTCTGAAAAGTCCTAGTGTAGGGTTTTAATTGCCTTTACAGAACGTTGCATCATCATTTTCATATATTATCCCCAAGATCGCAGTCCAACCACACCACAGGGGAGGAGGAAAGGGCCCGCCAGCGCGCAATCATATTGGGGATAACATGGGGGGTGCCTATCAGAATTCAGCAGGAGACACTGTGAGAAGCCACCCTCATATTGTCAAGAGACAAAGCCCTCCATGACCCTGAGTTTTGACAACATACCATCCTACAGATAAAACACTGCCATAGCTCGTGGGGTGCAGATATCCAGTGTCGCGGAAAATCTTGTGCACGAACAATGACGTACATATATGTTTCGTGACACACAGCAATGCTCATTCGCAGAAATGGCCGTGGCTGCAAAAAAGAAGAAGGAGAAACACAAGTGGAACAATTACCTTGAACACCAAACTCTAGGAAATTGTATACAGAGAGTATACTGGGCTTAGAGGGAATGTTCAAAGATATACAGGGCTTGTAGAAATATATGCCTTACTAATACCTTTTCTCAAGGTAACAGGTTGAATATTTGGGCGGGACTTTTTGTATCGAGCGGGGATATTGGTGCGCTACCAGCATGGCAACTAGTACTGGTATTACTTTTATGGCTTGCTAATACTATTGTCAAACTCTTACTCTTACCCATACGACTACTATTACCTACTGGTGCTAGTGCTCTATACCCTGACTATTACTATTGGTATTACTCCTACGATTACTATTACTAGTACTGATACTGATAGTGATACTATTGCAGTTCCTAGCACTACTACTGTTTCTTGTGCTGCCCACACAACCCTACAACACCTCAAAAAAAAACATGTAATCCCTACACAATCCCTATATATCCCTATAGCCTATAGACCTCTATATAACCCTTATACACAGGTGAACGTGAACGGAGTTCTTGAAAAGCGCCTTGGGCTTCTACGCTCAGACGGCCCCCAGCCTAGATCAGTGTTCAGGAAATGGGATCAAGGTATGCGGTTTTGGGTTTGAAGGTTTTGGGTTTAGAGTGTCGCCAGGGCTTAGGGCTTGGGGTTGAGGATTCAGGGTTTGGAGGTAAAGCAGGTTAGAGCTAGCTCCATGAGACTCAGGCAGACGCTGAGCTTTGAAAGGAGAGATTGCGGAGGCTCCCCATGCACAGAGGCAAATGGATTTAGGCTAAGCACTTCGGATTTGGAAGTTCCTTGGTCAGTATACAAGGATTCCCGTGGAAAGTGGGGGTTCATGGATGTTGATGAAAAGCTTGTCACTTACACCAGGACTGTAAGGGGACTGTACGGCTTGACTCTGACATTTCAGAGATTCTGGAGGGAGTGTATGTGGGTGGATGTCAAAATTATGATCCCTTTTTTGGGTACCCTAAATATTAGGTGCCGTATTATAATAGGACCCAAAAAAGGACCATAATTTTGACAACCACCCATGTACGGAATTGCCCAGTTGGGCGGCTGCCCTGGCATGAATTGGACTGCCAATTTGACTCCTGCCCACGCCGTCAAAGCACCCAGGTACTGAGAAGCCCCGGAAGGACGTCAAAAAAGGCTCATGGGGAACTGCGGGCGATGTTAACTATACGCAGGGGGCGTGAATGTAAGTGCGAGGGTTCCTTTTCTACTGCTACTCTTGCTACTATAGTTGCTGCTTCATTATTGCTCTTCGTTAAACTATCGTTCTTGTCAAAACTACGATTATTATCACTCCTAGTATTCTTGCAAGCAGTATGTCGTTATTCAGTGCCGGCTCCGCAGCCTAAGCCACGGACTGCACTAAATCGCACCACTGCCGCTCCTGGCACGGACAGGAAGCCAATGCCGGAGATCTTGACCTGCAAGAGACTCTAAATTGGGTACTGCCCTCATCCAGCAACTATCTTTTATATCATGAATATCATCCATCTGTTGCAGAGCGGCGGGCAGCACCCAAACTCTAGACTCTTATCGGAGTCTGGGTTAAGTGGGTCCTTTCCTTCAAAGGGGATACAGTGACCATGTGTCTTTATAAAGGATGATATTGGGATATACTACTTGATTTGGAGGTTTCCAGAAATGAGGGCCATGTTTAGAGAATCGCTGTAAGAAGGATTAACATTGGAACCCCCCTTTTCATGGAGACCACCGAGAATGCTCAGAAAAACGGTGTTCTGAAGCTACGATAACAAGTACTATCTAAGACCATATTAATCTGGTTCTGGCAGGTTAGTTTATTCATCCCAGAGTTCCCCTAAAGCCCTAAACCCTAAACTAGTAGTTTCCATGTTCTTTTCCGTTATCCCTATATGACCCCAATGTAATGGTTTCCCTTTTCTTTTCCATAATCCCTGAAGAATCCCGATATACTATATCGTAGTTTCATGTAGTTTCCATGTTCTTTTCCATTATGCCTATGTATCCCCCTAAACTGGCGACAAGCTGAGGCTTCCGTAGTGCCAAGACACAGGTGGACATTTGTAAGCTGGCGACTTTCTGGTTGCCAGATACGGGTCCCAACGGCGGATCCACATGCACGATGGCATACCTGATAGGGTGCAAAAGAAGTTTGGTTTTGGGTTCCTTTGCTTGGTAAAAAGCACAATTCCAGACCAAGTCTCATTGTCGAAGATGGGGACTCTATAACAGATTCAGAAATGCAGCCGCGCTACGGTGGGCCAACGATTGAGGCCACATTGATTTGCCAGCAGTCGTCCAGCCACTTGTTGGCCCAGCCACCATACATGATTAGCCTGCTCTCCTGCGAGCATTCAAGAGGAGCACGTTACCTTTCCTGCGGCATGGTCGCCTTTTGCTGCCTTGAGGAAACTTGGGTGGCCACTGAGTTACCGACTAACAGCAAGAGACTCAAACACGAGGTGAGGAGTTCGTGCTTCTTCCATGTCGAGAGACCCTGGGTTTTGCTAGGGTTAGTCTTTCGAGAGCCATCACAGAAATATTGTGACATAACATCGCGCTCCCTGACTCGAAATTCGCTCGACAAAAAAAGGTCGGTCCTCCGAATCGTAGCACATGGCCGTGTGTTCTCGCCTCTAGTGCCGCAGAAAGTTGTAGCCTCCCTAGACATGAAACCCTTACCGGTCTTTGTAATGCTTCAGGTAAGCACAAATAAGTTGTTACAGCCAGCCCTTGGCCAACACTGACACCGGCAAGCCACGTTGAAGCTCATTTGAAAAAAATATATATATATATATGTATGTGTATATATATACATATATCTATCTATGGGAACCACACGGGAAAAATTGGGCCTACACAGAGGTTGCTTTGGGTCTACCTGGCCCAACTGTAGCAAAAGTGGTGGTGTGCAGTCAAGGCACCCGTGGGGACGGTCTGCTTTGGACCTCTCCTGGAAGCAAGGCTAGGCTTCCGGGGCACTGCGCTGCAGCACTCCAAGTCCCCCCTAGTGGACACTCCTCACACAAGCGCGCGAAACAGAATTCTAGTAATACTATGGAACTAACAGGTCATGTCCTGCGAGGGAGTTCAAGAGCGGTCGCATGATCTACGTAACTGGTACAAGTAGCAGGGCAGAAAGTGGATTCGGCAGCCTCAGGTGCCGGAGTCAGCCACTTCCGCTCATCGCCAAGGTCAAGCACGCCTCAGGCAAGGGAGCGGCGGTGCCGGCGGCTGTGGTGGCGGCGGTGGTGGTGCTCTTGGTGGTGCTGGCAAGGTAGTGTTGTAGTCTCACTTGAGGCTGTTGTCTACGGCATTCAACACAACACGCATTGAATGCAAATCGAGTTGATGCTCATGAGTATACTGTACTTGAGCACACATCAAGAGGTATCACCGAGAAAATGGGAACAGTTCCTTGGGAACATTTGCCATGGTAGCGATGCTGAGCTCACCGCCTAGCTTCCTGTCGAAGGACCCCATGGTGCGACCTTCACCTGAGCACAATCAATTTTGCCCTGGCCCAGAGAACTCCCTGAGCTAATGAACAGTCGCAAGGCAACGATGCTCACTACTCGTAAGTTTAAAAGTCACAACAGCAACCAAAAAAGAAAGTGTGTTTAGAGACTACGATTCATCCTGACCTCCATCCCCAATCCAACCTGAGTAGGGCGTGTCCAAGTGCGCTGCCCATCCGGTCGGCTGAGCCACCGAACACGAAGACTCGCCATGATGGTATAGCCTCGTGCGTTTGCGTGAACTTCCCAAGGATCACGCAACCAGCAGCTCAAGCTGTAGGGATAACAATTGTGATGATGATAGTCGCCACAACACTATTACGCCTGTTAGGCAGCCGTCGTTACTGCCGCTGCAAGGTCGGAAACAAGAGGCATTGTCTTGGCGAACTTGAACACCTGCCTATCAAGGGCTCATCATTCTCAGCAGCTGCTGTTCTCTTATGACGATAAGAACCACCGGTGCACCAAATGAAGTATGTGACAAATGCTTAGGTCTGCGGCCACAAAACAAGGTCTGAGGCACATTCTAGCTTAATCCTTGGATGGAGGGAAGAGAGATCTGTACTAGCGCCACCGAAGTCAGCGGCCCGCAGCTCTCACGGCTCCAATTCTGGCTGAACCAACCCTAGACCTCCAAACCTTAACCCCTAAACCCCCCTAAACCCTCCCAATCCCCAAACCCTAAAACACACGAAGCCCCCGAAGCCTCCACGAGCTGCGAAGCCATGTTCCACCGCGGCACACTCCAGCTCAAGTCCAGGTCCGACCAGTCCTGGGGAGCGGATCTTCTCAAGGATTTAGGGGTCAGGGTATAGGGGCTTAGGGTTTAGGTTTTAGGGTTTTAGGGTTTCGGGTTTAGGGCTTTAGGAGGTTTAGGGTCTCAGGGGTTAGGGTTTAGGGTTTTAGGGTTTTAGGGTCTTAGGGGTTAGGGTTTAGGGATTTAGGGTACGTAGGATTTCTTACTCTGAAAAAGGACTATAAGTTTTTCTGTTAGGGTGAAGGGGCGAAATAAGGGCTCTACACAGATTATCTATGCCTACATGGGACCTATCGAGGGATTTGGGTTTAGGGATATCGCCACAGCAATGGAGAATCAAATGGAACAGAAAATGGAAAATGAAATGGATTACAGGATAATAGATAGGCGTGTAACGTTTTTTGTGGTGGTTGCACCAAGTCAGATTGTATTCCTTGTATAAAATACTATACCCCAAGAGGAAGATACCATCTTACCCTATTTATTGGGGCTGAAGCTACTGCAGAACCCTACGCATGCTCAGTAAGGCCCTGGGAGATGTAGGTAATGTTGAGATAGCATTATTCCTTGGGGTGACAATAGCATTGAGTTGCCGGGCCGGAAAAATCCCG